CAATATTACGTAGCTGTTTCTAATAACGCGAGAAAGTATGTGCTGTTGTAGTGTCCTAGTTTTAGATAGCCGCTTGGCCTGTGGGTGGTGTGTGATTGTTTCGAATAACCTTTCGATGCATGCATGGAAGGCTGACATATATTAGCAGTGACTGCTCAGTCGACTGTAAACCCATTTCTAATTGTTTGAGAAGAAAAGGGGTGCGCTTTCTCACAGAACAAGCAATAATCATAATGAATACTAACCTAATACCAAATAAATGTTAAAATAACTATTTCATTTCACATTAGATTGAATGAATTTACCGTAATACGAAGATTTCTAAAGTATTTCGGAAATCCAGGAGATTCATTAAAAAAATATGAGAAAAATGAGAATTGGGTCATATGTAAAAACATACTGTCCCCTCCCCACCCGTCGCTTCAGAAAGATACAGCTGAATACTGGATAAAACTAGGGATGACAACAGGAAAATGCCACCCCCGTTACTATGGAATCATTGTAGTAAAATATTCAATTAAGCTAACATCAGAAAAAAACAATACAGAATAATCTTCGATATTGTCTCTTCCCCCAAATTTAATATAAGCAAATTTTAAGAAAACTTCGCATTGTACGAAAGAATATGTGAAATAATAAGTACTTTCGAGAAGGCCATTCACTATGTTAAAAACCCTCCCTCCGATGGTAGGTTGTGGACATTAAGAGTTTACGAACGAACTCATTTTTATTGTAGATTCGAATTCATCAATAAAAACTAATGACATTTGATCCATTTTTTTCTCTTAAGTTTTCCTACAATATATTTCGTAGTTTCGTTTATAGTTTTCAGTACTTAACTGATATTTTAGGTGGAATTTTGTAATGTGTAATTGTATTAGAAACCCGCTATTCAGAACCCCGCAACTCCGATATATCGGATAATCCGAAGAAAATTCGTGATGGAGAAAAAATAAAATAAATAAAATGCTTTTTTGTGGTGTAAAGAAAGGATTTTATAATTACTGTGGAACTGAACAACTAATTATTGAAACAAGTTGTCGAAATGCAACGTTTTTTGCACTGGTAACTAACTACGGCGTATATCACGTATTTATGTACCAGTAGTTTCACAGAGGAACTTCATCTTCTTTTGCCGGAAGGAACTCAATGTGCTTGATGCAGTCTGATGATACGATCGCTAAGTTACGTTGCTATTTCCTCACATTGCACGCTACGTTTCATTGTGTCTGATAATCCTATAGACGTACACGTACAGTTCATTTTTTCGGATAATCCGAACAGACCACACTCTCAATTAATTCGGAATACCGGGGAACCGGATATTCGAAATACCAGAATACTGTAGTTTCATTGTTAGCACTCTCGCGCTTTGTTCAAAAGAAAGTTTGGTAAAAAACGATTTTTTTAATACAAAGTTAAAATACTAAGCTGCGCAGAAAGCGCATCAAACATGGGAATATCGCTCCTCGTAGGTACAGGGCCCACTCTCGATTCAATTTACTATTCCAGAAAACAAATATCACAGTTTTTTTTAATTTCTCATGTATGCCGTACAAAGAATGAATTGTAATGTCCCGAAAAGTCAATATCGATATTTTCTCCTATAGGGAAAGATTTATTATTATTATTATTATTATTATTATTATTATTATTATTATTATTATTATTATTATTTTCCTTCTTCAAAATCTGTCCATCCGCATGTGCACAACTCTAGCGCTAACAAAACCGTTCTCCAATTTTGGAAAATGAACATTCCTCAATCGATCAGATCACTCGGGGATTCATCGAACTTGAAGCGGATAAATTGATTAGGGGAAAACTTCACATGAAGCCCCAAAATGGCTCCACATTTGTTCTATATTTGTTAGTAGTTTAGTATGTTTACATGTATATGGTTATGTTTATAAAAACAGCGCAGGCTCATTTTTCGTAAAACATCAGAAGAAAGAAAATATTTTAACCCCTCTAACTAAAATTTGCTAAAGAATTTTTTTTTTTACTTTCTCGCACTTGCTTTGTAAGGAGAGGTTACATAAGTGTGCGCCGGAAAACTGCGAATTTTCGGCAGAAGAACTCCTATTGCCGACCCCCGGTAATGAAAAAGAGGAAAATAATGTTCTTACATGTGGTAAAATACTTCCTCTAACACGTGGTATAGCCAGAATTAATGTTTTGTGGGTCCTAGATACCGAAAAAGCGATGATAGCAAAAGGCTAGCACCTAAACTGTTCAGCCAATTTTCTCCGTAACTGATTTTCCCCGATCGATGAGGCTTTAGGGGTTTCAAACGGATATATCGATTTTTACTTGGTTACTTTACATGAAGCCTTAAGAACATTTTCAAAATTTTCTCAAATATGGCAATTTTTTTAAAACTTGTCCTCTGGTAGCGTAAAGAACACTTAAGAGATTGGTGCAGGTATCATGTCCGTTGAAATATCAAATTTTTAAAACATTGCAGAAATGCAGTTTTTGAGCGTCTTCCTACAACTATAACGTTGAATACATTTTTTTCTCAATGAAATCTGTTACTTAAAGACAGATATATAAATAAGTCCATGTTCAGTTTTTCGAAATTATAAGTAATTTCGCTATAATTTTGCGCAAAATACAGGCAATTAATTTTTTTTACAATTTTTCTTAAAAAATGCCCTTCTTTTCTTTAAATTTTCTCCTTATTATTCAGGGGCGGGAAAAATCCATTTGCGGCAAACTCCTTTTTTTCGAAAATTTCAAAAAATTTTCATTTCAAAACCACAAAACTTAAGATACATATTTTGCCTCAGACAAACTCTGTTGTACAAAAATCAGCTCTTTAAAAAAGGACATGTACTTTTTTTTTTAAATAAAACAAGAAGTTTAAATGTGTACTTGAAACTTATAAAATTTCTATTAAAAAAAAAGAAAAGAAAGATCTCACAAACCACTCCAAAGTTTTCCATTTATAAGAATGGGATCAGTGTCTTTTTCATTGATATCTCTGAATTTTCAAAAATTGCAAATTTGGAAATGAGAGAAAGTGTGTGCATCACTAGTTATTCATAGAATTTATTCTTCAAACTTATACCTTTACACTTTTTTCCCATCTCCATTCAAAGTATGAGTATTATCCCATAATTGGGGTGATATCAGACCAATTTTTAAAACATTTATACACAAGATTCTCGCAATTACTGCAATTTTTTCTTTTAATTATTTACAAAAACAGAGCAATATAAAATTAATAATGTGACATATGTCTGATTTTCTCTGAAATTCTGAAAGTTGCAAAATTCAATTGTTTTTCAAATCGGCTCTACACCTTCAATATTGTAGCAAGAGATTTCTTTCTTCTGTTCCTCAATATTAGATCTGTTCCTCAATATTAGATCTTTGTTTTTATTTTTACTTTATGAATACATTCTTTTAAAATAATGGTTGCTTTTAATTTTGAGATACTTGGTGAAACTTTTTCATCCTAGATGTTAGAATCTCCGCATCATTAAAAATTGATAGTCAGAGCAAAGCACAGTCCTCCGATGTATGATGTATGTAAACCTAATCACTCGAGTTCATATTTCAACCCAAGCTCGAAACGTTTCCTAATAATAGCGTACAATACACATCAGTGAAATTGGAGGCAACCGTTTTAAACAAGAAAGTATGTATCTTTGCATCACCACTGGTTTTTATATTCCATTCTTCACTGATATATTTTGAGTGATTAATAAAATTACAACTCATAAATAAATTTAGTTATCTTATAATTCACAATAAATTATAATTGAACATCCAGCTTGGTAATTTTTAATTATTTCAACCCTTTACAAACAAAAAATTTCTCCGTTCACACTTAACACATTATTAGTAGTCAATACAACAAACCTTATTTGTCTCTTCTTTCATATTACCTATGACACAATTTTTATGAGAGGTGTAATGAAATGAAATTACAGCTTTGAGAATAAGATCAATTTTTACCTCCTTGTATGACATTAAATATCAATATCAATGATTTACAATAAAAGAATTGCCAGTAATTTTGGTGGTCTTTTTCACATACTACATTTACAGTTTTGAAATACCGCCTCTTCTCACTAAAAGTTTATACATATTCTGTATGTAATTCCAAGAGGCTCACATGCACAGTAGTATTCACACAAACAAATTCCTGCTCCTAGTATTGCAAACTTAGGAAAGATGTTTTCATAAGGCAATTCTTAACAAGTAATAAAACTAATACATTTAATATCAACTAAAAGTGACAACTTATGCATGATTTGCATGACTTTCATGCACAATATTTGGAAATATTTCACAATACCTAATGAAGAGTCGTTGATCTTCAATTTTAAGTACTTTTCTCAATGCAATGCTTATTTCTTGAACTCGCAAGTGAAAAAATTTAATCAGTGACTGAATTCAATAAGCAAAAAAATGTTTTCTTTCTTTTCTTCAAACCAGAATGCAACCTAAACACAATATGCTACAAATCGACTGATTCAGAGGAAACAGATAAATTATTCAACCTACACGTAACAGTTACATGCCTTCGAATTTGATTAATATTCTATACAATGAATTAATTATAATAATGTTCACTGCTCAGATATATTTAACAATAATACTTAGAAAAGTTAACAAACCAAAAAACAGCCACTCTACTTAACTATCAACCCCATCAACATCCCAACTGGACTTCTTACTTTAGAGAACATTTTTTTAAATTATTGTGAAATTCGAAATAGCGGTTATTTAGACTCACGACACCACAAATATATCAATTCATTATTGACAAAATTTCTTTAATAACCAAGTACAGTAAGTTATGCTTAACCTATCAGCAGACTGCAGTATGTTTATTTTCTCAAGGTTAGGCAAAGAACATCAGAAGATCGAAAAAGGTAAAACCAACATAACCGATTCTTGTGAATTCTATTTATGTCATGAAATGCATTCCTTACTGTAAATCACATCAGAACACTTTATTTTAAATACTTATAAAGATAATTTTTTATTTCTATTTCTTGAACTGTTCATAATTCAACTACCTATCACGCTGTCAGATACCATTTCACTGTTATACAGTTGGTGTTAATTATTGAAGATATTCTTAGATGAAATATAAAACATCTTTGTCAACCGATCGCAGGTAATGCGTAGTAAACAAACGTGGAAACGTTTACCGCGTGTGCCTCAAGAAATGCAGGTCGTCAAATCTTAAGATAATAATTATTAAAATAATTTTATATTTAAGAGAAAAATGCCGGTCGACAGTCGACGAAATCAGGGTCCTGATTCTTCGGTACCATTTATGTTATACTCCACCCGTGAAAAGAAGGATTATAAAACAGTGAAGAGTGAAGTTTTTAAAAAGGGATTGAGAAAAGATGGGAGAAAATGGGATCAACATCGTAAAGTTTGTAAGTATTCAAGACATTTCAATTTAGTTCTTTTCTAGTGTATAGCTATCATTGAATTGTTCATAGAATTTTCTTTCTTTCTGATTTCCTTCAGAGGTTATGTTTATTGTAATAGCCTGTTTGTTCTAGATTTGAAAACTTCGGTCGTAACTCAAGCAAAAGGGTCAGCTTTTATTGAGCAAAACAATACCAAAGTTATATGTTCTGTTTTTGACCCCCGAGAAATACCACGTAAATCAGATTATAGTGTGAATGGTGAACTGTACTGCGAGTTCAAATATGCACCATTTTCGTGTCTTACTCGGAGAGGCCATCAGCAAGATGCTGAAGAAAAGGAGTTCAGTTTGATTCTTCGACGTGCACTTGAACCAGCTGTGTGTCGGGTATGCTTTTCTTTGATGAGTTAATTTGACTGAATACTTACTTTTTTAAACCTGTCTTCTGAAAATTTTTATTGACATTTTTTTTGTAGCATGAATTTCCAAATTTTCAAGTTGACATTTATGCATTAGTTTTGCAAGATGATGGTTCTGCTTTATCAGCAGCAATAACGTGTGCTAGTCTTGCATTGGCTGATGCTAGTGTACCAATGTATGACCTTGTTGCTTCTGTAACTTTGGTATGTTTAAAATTATTATTACCTTTCATTTGTAATGTGAATATTTGCTTAGCTTGATTGCAAACGGGTGTTGACGGGTGTCTTATTGTGTTACAGGGAGTACATGACGATTTGAAATTTTTAGATCCTACAGCAGAAGAAACTATACTGTGCAACACTTCTCCTAGAACTTTACAAAATCATGGCACTATAGTGTTTTCTTATTCAGCTTCTCAACAACAAATTTCAGAATATGCCCAAACAGGTGCAATGAATTTGGATTGTATTACTAGTGCAATAGATATATTAACTAGAGCATGTGATGACATTTATCCTCTGTCACAACAATGTTTGGTAAAAAGTGTTGCAAAATCAGTGAAAAGGAAGAAGAAGAGGGAAGAGAAACTAAATAGGGAAAGAGCTATTTTGGCTGATGAAAATGAACCTCCCATTAATGAGTGAAGAATTGAAGTTCTGTTAAAAGGATGTATATTTACTGTCTACTTGAATTTTGTTTTTTGTGCTTAAAATGCCTTAACATTCCGGATGATTACATGTGCAAATGTTTTACATTTTCTATTTTAATTGTGTGGTTGACTACTTTTCATTTAAAAACAAACATTTTTATGGGTCTGATTGTAGATGTTCATTTAATCATGAATTTGATGTATGTAAACATTTATCACATACTGACTTTATTAGAAGGATGAGCAAGTAAAGTTTTGGTTTCTAACAGAATTTTTATCTCTTTTCCAATTCAGTTCCTAAATACCTTAGTAATTGTTTTAAATAATAAAATATAGAAACAACATCTTGAAAATTGAAGTTTCATGGAGAAAATTCTATTTTCTGAATTTGTTTTACATATATTTTCTAAATTTGTTTTACATATAAATGGGTTTCACAAAATACTTGTTTTTAGCAACCGTTTATTATAAATCATTGCTTTTTCGGAATGGTTTGAATTGTTTGCATGATGATTAGGACAAAATACAGTGCTCCATTTAAACTTTTAATTGCAGAATAAGTTATTCATGCCTGAATGCTCTTTGATTCCTGAGTGTAAGTACTGGCAATAGGTTCAGTACAGAATAATTTTTTTAGAGAAAAAATAGGTAAATTGTTAAAAAGAGACTATTGGACTATTCATTGAATTGTTTAAAATGTTAAATGCAATTCATATTTTGAAGGCAAAGATTTTTTTTCCCCCTTGATATGTGGAAAATATTCTACAAATATATAATACACGTTTGGATTTTTGATGTTTAACTCGCTTTTTATTTTCTACTCGAGATAACAGAAAATCGGTTGATGTTTTGAAGACGTACTATCTGACGTTTTCCCCCATAATTTAGTATTGGGGGGCGGGGGGGGTCACGCGGCTCCCCACACATTGGAGTCCCTAAGCAACTGTTCATTTTATATGTAAAGAAATCTAGACCTGGAGAAACAACTCCTTTTCTTGTAATTTAGTGACTTTAATTCCCTAAAGATGTTTTTGGAAATAAAATAATTTTGAACAGTGAATCAGCATAAATGGATTCAAAAGATATGTACAAATGTGCTCAAACGTCTGGTAAAAACAAGACCAATAATTCTCATTTGTATATTCATTTATATTGCATTCAATAATTCCTATATAATAAATATCTGCATTCTTAGTACATAATTTTCCTTATGTTAATTAATTAGCTAATTTAATGCTTTTTATTATTTTAGTTATTTCTCGCCTAAGAGATATTGTAATTGTGCACCAGAAATCAGCTATTTTTCCACAAAAGTATTTTTATTGTTGGGCACTGATAAAGGAAAAGTAGATAAATCTTTTCCCTTTAAATACTAAATTACGATGAGTAGTAAACGCCCAACTTTATTCATCTTTGCCCACGGACAGCATAAAGAAGGCTTCAAAGAATGGCGCAGGTCTCATTTTCGTTAAAATCCCGTTTTTTTCGGGAATTCTAAAAGTAAATTTTTTTCGCGCCAATCACAGTATTGCATGTAAAGAATTTTTCCTTCATAAAATCTGTTGTTTAAAGCAAGACTGGCGATTGGTGTTAAGTCCGAGTGGGAAGCTGACCCGGGTGGAGGTGCTCCCTCAATCTCCCACCAAAAATGCATATGAAGGGAAAAATTCAAAACAAACATTTTTCAAATTGTAAGGTTTATCATTAAATTGTCATCAAATTGCTATTACATTTATTTTATGTAACTTAAGCAGTTCATTTTTACGAAGCAAAAAACGCTGTGCTTTGCTTTTTTGATATTCAAAACGTTCAACAATTTTTGCAAATCAATTTTGTCGGTCATTGCACTATAAACATTAAAATCCCAAAACTATTGAGCCGATCTTGCAACACAGTTAATCGCAAGTATAAGTTTTGAGTCGACGCTATACTGACATACTTCGTTAATTTCTGGAATTTGACATTTATGCAATGCGAGTTCTTTCACACCAAATTCCGAAAAGGTATTTATACCACGAAAGTTTTCTTGTGGGTATAGCTACTCATCGTACCTACATTATCCGCCGGGCCTGGTGTAAACATGTTTTGAAAAACCTACAAGTACAGTTTTACGGTTCATTGTCTAGTGATTCCGGGCGCGTCAACTGTTAAGGTCATTAGTCCCGTAAAAGAAGTGCATTTTTATCGCCGGAGTTGACGGTAATATTCCCCAGTGGATGGCGAGATCCGGCGTGCTCCTACCTGTGGTCTTCAGGGATTACGCTCCTTCAACCAGCGAGGCACCGCTCCGGTCAAGACAGGCTACAAGTTCCCAATTGGTTGCCCGGCATGTGTGGAGATGACATACTTCATAGGGTGAGTTGCCTGCCATTTTTTTAAACCTTGAACATTATATATTTTGTAAATCATTGTTTTAAAGGCAAAATAGATTCACACTGGGAACTATCACAGTTCAGCAAGGCCAGTTTCCATGATCCATTGAGCAAATGCTGAGATGGCCCCTTGTTTGGCTTCTGGACATAAATGTAGCTTCACTATGCGCACGTTTTGTTGAACTCTCCTTTTGCTTGAAATGGTAGGAGTGGAGGTAAGGGCGAGTAACTATTTTGTTAGCAATGCAGAAAAATCACAGAAGAGGATGTAGACCCATACATTTAAATTTTGTAGGTTAACAAATAATTACGTTGTACATAGATTTGAAGATTCTACACATTTGTAACCGTCTATTATGTTTACGCTCAATGGCGAATCCGAGATGGGCTGAGGAGCGACAGCTTCCAAGCTAGGGTAGAAGGTCCCAGAATCCAGGGACGTGCGGTGATTACTTTGTACTTCTCGACCAACGGAGGGGTAATTTATTCTAACAAGATATGCCATTTAAAATAATTTTGCATTGTGGTAGTGCCGACTTATCACATCCGAAGACAGGGTGAGCCAGGCGAGGCCTGGTAATGTAGAAGTAGTGGGGGCACCATCTCCAGCTAGCCGAGGTCAGTACATTATCTGCTGCGACTTTCTCCCGATTGCCGCCTGCCACTGGCCCATTGAATTTGATGCGCGCTCATCTCTCGTCCCCAGCGAAGATTTCAGCGCTGGGGTCAGAGCACAAGAGGCCGCCCTCGAAGATCACAGTAGAGTGTACAGTAAGTGCAATATTTTTGATCACGTGGCGTATGGTTCAATGTAATTTTAATTTTCAAAATTCATTAAATTCTTGTTCTTACTTTCTCCGGCAGTGCTGGAGTTTGCTGATATTGAATTCATATTAGCACACAATGAGTCGCGAATTAGAAGGTGCTGCAAGCCTATCCGAACTTTTTTTTTTTAATCTTCAGAATAGTTCTGGAACAAGGACAAACTACAGCATGTAGTGTAAGACTGATTTCCAAGTACAGATATTTTAATTTTCGTTTGAGACAACTTTTATGTTTGTAAGGACGATAAAACTGTTCTTACCAAAACACTTTTTTTAAATATTAGCAACAAACAAAATAGTTTGTCAAATTAAATGAAAGGATCGATGTTATTTGTTTAGTTACTAGCGCGCACACTACCGCACGGGCTCTACTGCATAAATAAAAACACTCTGCCCTCATTTGGCTCCGAGTATTCTCACTTCCACTTAAATCCATTGCTAGCTACGGTCGGCGACGCGCTAATCCTTGATAAGAACCATTCCGAAAACATTGATCATTCACTTACACAAGTGTGAGAGATTAAATTCGCTCTCTAACCTTCCGCTGGTCATACACACTATTAATCGAGTATGTTTAGTGAAAGTTTAATGTGTTCTGTAACCCTTCAAGTGATTCATTTCTTTTTGAGAGAGCATCGCCCTAGAGTCCGTAAGCAGGGACGGTACGTGAAACAAATTTTGGGAGGGGAAATTCAAAATGTATTGGTCGAATAATTCACATTTCATATTTTTTTAAATGTCGCCGGTACACTCAGATCATGCTGCGATAAAATTTTAATTGTTTTAATGATTATAAAAAATCCGAAAATAGTTTTGGTTGAAAGTTTTGTAACGAGTAATAGAGTAAAATTAATAGTTACTGAAACATTATAGGAGAAAATTTCCTTCATTTCCCTCCCCGTGGACCCGCGCCTGCCTCGAAAATGAGCGGCTCACACGGGTCAGAATACACGATTTGTGAGTCTTTGATAGCAGAAAGTCTGTTTCATTTAGTAGCAATTAGCTTCTCATATGCAGCAAAAGAAAAACGGTGCTCATCTCATTTTCGACAAACTCTCTGTATATTCAAAAACTGCCAAAAATTAAGTTTGTAGAAGTACAATAGCGATGACACATGTTTATTTCTTAAAGGAAAGTGTTCTAATAAATAGATGTAAAATAGTCATGTACGATTTTTTTAACATCTAGTTACCCGTAATTTCACGTACTTTCGCATCATTTCTACTAGAAGTTAATGTAATTTATAAAACATATCAAATACAGCACCAGTTTTTCTTTAAGCTTTTTCCAAGGATAGAGCAAAATATGCTTAAAATGGCGCAGGTTTCATTTTCGTGGGTCTATCAGAATTATCGAGAATTACAAAAGTTAGAAATAATTAAAGAAAGTATCTGCTGTGTAGCACTACTAGCTTTTTATTTGTGAACTTAAACGAATGTTGCCAATAATAATAATAATAACAACAACAATTACTACAACTCCGCCAATGGAGTACATTACTTTGACATTAGTGGTGGAACTTGAGTACTCCCGTGACCCCGAGAGTTATGCCGGCGGTATGCTAGCGTAGCTACTGGTAGGGCCTCCCTTGCCAAACAGGTCGAAGGGTAGGGGTCAGACAAAGAAGTACTCCAGACGATGACGTCGAGGTCAAGAAGAGGATTTGTAGGGCAGACAGGTTCTGACATCGGGGCAAATATGTTACCCGTGTCAGTGGTCACCTGACACAGATCAAGATCCCAGGAGCGGCGCCGCATCACTTACGGCGACCGCAGAGAACACAGAACCAACTGATTCTAGACGAATTGGCTTGGGCGTAGAGCCATTTGTAATGTGGTCCGCCGCTTCAGGTCTGATTGGCCAACGCACGAAAGGCTCAGACGAGATGAATAACTCTGTAATGCCACGTATTACCGAAGTACAAAAGTGCAAGTAGAATGTGAAGGGTATAGGGTAAGGATGCATGCAGAGTGGAAGAAAAACTAACAGCACCCTGAATGAACAGCGGGTATGTAGTCAACTGAACTCTATTCTGAGAAGAAATGCACTATCAATTGCAAAATTGGATCAGATAAAACAGGAAGCAAGAATTCAACTACAACAAAACATGGATAAATGCAGCACCCTCCAATGCAGGCAGCAGAGCTGGAAAGAGAACATTCAGAGTAGGAATTGTGCTGAAACTCAGAAAGTAACATCAGACATCAACAGAAAGTTGATGATAATGATGCAACTGTTAATATTTTGAGAGAAAACTATCAAAAGTGTTATATTTTGTTTCAAGGTATACCACTGCAATATCGTCCGCGTATACCAAGAGTAACCGGGAATAAGAAGTTTTACGATGTTTGCAAAGTAATGCATTCCCTTTCAGAAGAACTAGCCCTCACACCTAATTACCTCGAAGAGGTAATGGAGAAGTGCATTTTGCTACCTTAGCTGTCTCTGAGAGTATGGGGAGAGATAATCAATGTAATAAACAAAGGCCAGAACCTATCCCACGTCGAAACAAGTATATTGAGGAGGTATATTGGCTTCATAGAGAAATAGAAGATTGCCAAGATAGAGATTAAATGCTATCAGTTACGATTACTGAAGCTGATATTAGGGCAATCACCAAAAAGACGCAGAACTGGAAATCACCTGATCCAGATGGCATTAATAATGTTTGGTGCAACTACTTTATTGCTTTCCTTCTAC